TTCATCGACACAGCGTGTCTAAAATCACTTTGGAATCTCTTTGTTAGATTCATTGTGCTGAAAAATTAGCATTTCGTTTTTATTTCGACATAATTAACAGATTTCTTTTTTTTCTTCAAAAAGTTTCTTTTTGAACTTTGATGATTAAAAATAAAATCCATAAATATATGTCTATATTTTACGAGTTTGTTATACAAAAATTAATCATATATAATTTTTTATTTCAATCAGATATTTTTTTAAATTCTAACAAAAAAAATTTCTGAAGTGGACTTTTAACATCACGTCAATGGATAAATTAAACATATATTTATTATGTTCAAGTTGAGCATAGCAGAATGAAACATGTGTTTAATATACATATATGAAGTGATTTTATTTTAAGAATGCCTCGAAGTTGGAAAATTTAACTATCGGCGAGACGACTAGTTCAATGCCAGCTTCGATGCGAGAAAGACGATGAGGTATACAAAGCCCCTTCGATTCCTCCCTCCCTCCTCTTTTCCGAGGATACCTGGCACACGTGTAGGGATCCACGGGCCCCGAAAATGGGTCTACGTAGCTAGTCTCGGTGGGGCCGGTCGCATATGGTGGCGCGCGCGCACACACATGTATGAAGCGTTCCAGCGGTAATAGCCAGGTGTTTCAAAGGTGAGGCGATGGGGCGCCCCTCGAGGCGGCACAACAAAAAAATAAACCAGCTTCCTTCCGATGGGGCTACCTTCCAGTGGGGCGGCCACCCGGTACACACATATATAGGACCTCTGTACGCCGTCGTAATAATTATACAGATTTATTCGAACGGGCCCGGATCGCAACGGGTTAAACAGCGTGCGCGCGCGAACTGGTTGGAGAGTTCCGGAGAATCGTAACGTCGCGCATCGGGTATCTCGCTAAGGGTCGAAGAGTCACACCTTTCATTTCCTCGGCTGTAACGTGTAATTTACCACTTTGAGCGGGAAAACAAGAATCGTGTGAGGAACCGGCCGTAAACGGTCGTCTATAAGTATACACTTGGCCGAGATGTATCTATCTTCGAAGCGAGCGTTAATTCTCCCCTACAAATTGTTCACAACTCTGCGGTTATCCATTGATCGATTGTATTACGTTACAAACGGAAGGGGGCAGTAAAAGATTGGGGTTTTGAATCGCGACATTAAATTTCTTAGTCTCTCGAAAAATGATCAAAAATCACAGAAACTACTCATATGAGAATTTAAAAAAAGCAAAGATATGTATATATCATATTAAAATTACGATTAATTAACAGCTCGATAGAATTAATAAAATTCGCTGCTATCGATCTCAACCTGCCTTTTCGTAGCTGTATATTTATATTTTTTTTTTCGCGGCAGGGCGGAAATGGTTCGCCATTGCGGCGCAACAACATAACCGACGAACGCGCGACGGTGCCAGTGGGACCTGCTTCTATCTACGCGCGCATAAAGAATCTTTTCGCAGCAACCTGCGCGAACGCACGATTATCCGTGGTATCGGCGTGAAGGGCGCCGGGTTGGTCCCCGGTCGGGGATTCACACGCACGGGACATACTACGTCGGCAAACAAAAGCGGGGGTAACTTAGCGCGCCCAGTATTCCGTATAATTTATCCGCTACGTAACGAAGGTAAGGAAGAAAGAAGCGGAATTCTTTGCCGGAACCGCCGCCGGTAGCTACCGGAATAACCGGATAAAATGCAGGTTCTCTCGATCCTCTCCTCGCCTGACCTTTTTTTTCCTTCTTACTCTCGCCGATCTAGGACGACGAGAAAGGGTTGTCTGCAGAGACAGATAACCGCGTGGAAGGGCGCGTCTTTATGCGCAGGTAGATGATTCGTCGACGACCGGTGCACGATTCATTCCCGGTATTTTTCTTTCTCGCACTCTCTCCTTCTGCCTTGAGTTTTCGAGATGTATCGAGATGAAGGCACAACCTTAGGGTGCGCGTTTCCTTGTAAACCGCCAGAGAAGAAAATGTCGATCGACCCCTTCGCGTATATTTGCGTGACAACAAGAGACAAGATTGTGGCTTTTAATTTAATACGATGCACACATCGGAAACGGCAGGTAGGCCGCAGATTATAAATTAAACGCATCCGTCCTCGGGATCAGATCAAGGAATGGTGAGAGAAATGTGCTTTAGATGTATGTGCTATATTTTCATTCAAGTCTTGTATTAATAAATTATTAAATATCAATTAAAAACATATCTTTATTCAAAGCTTTATTTCTTGACGATTTGTATGACAGATAATGATTTATCTAATGAAAATTTAATTAAATTATAGTAAAAAAATAATTATTTCTCATTTTTATGCTGTAACGAAGAATACTGAATGGCATATCTTGAAATTAATCGAGCTCACGATTCGCCCAAGATTGAAGTCGGTGCATCGAGCGTGCGCATTTATTGCATTTCCTTTGATCGGCACGCACTCGATTCTTGACGTTGTATTCGTGGGTGTCGAGATAAGGGAATCTATACTATACTGTATTATATTGAGTCAACAACGATGATTCGCACCGTTCTGTAGCAAATAGTTCCTTCAGTATCGGGGCTGCAGTGCTTATCGACGAGCGAACTCTCGAATCAAACTCTGTCTTGACTAACGATCGTATTTTACAGTGCGTACAGCAGCCGGCTAGAAATTGTTTCAGTCAATACGTCGGGCATGACAATAACTCGACTATATCGGGTTTAAGTAGCGAATGTTTAATTAACTGACACGCAATTAATGGAATCAAAGTTTTCAAAGATTATTTAGTTTCTAAGAAGAGCTTTTATTGCGATAGATATACCTATTCATTTTTTAGATTTTCCGAACGTTTTGCATTCAGACAAGCAAAATTATTTTATTATTTAGTGAAATTATATTAAATAAATTGATTTAAACGATGTTCCATGAAGTAATAGTTTCAGAATCTCGAGTCCAAATTATATTTTTTACATGGTAACATTTACAATACGTTGTTTCTATTATATTATTAATGCACCGGTAGTACAAAGCTGCAGAATCGTTTCAAGTTCAACGCACCGCGCGCGTGCCGCATTTGGAATGCGCCGTTAAGCGAAGTGAAATGCGTCGCGCGCAGCGATTGTGCGCAATATTGATGCAAAGCGAAGCGAATGTAAAATATATATCGACGGTAGCGAGGACGTTTCTCCTGTCGAGACAAACGGTTAATAACACGCGCGCCCGTGGCATATCGGTTACCGAGATTTTATCATGAAATTCTGCTGTCGGTGTGCACGCACGACACCGTCTCCGCCTTTTCCTCTCCTCTCTCTCTCTCTCTCTCTCTCTCTCTCTCTCTCTCTCGCTTTTGCGATCTCAGCGCGTCTGGTGTTTCTCCTTTATTACGAAATAATACGATAAGATGATTGGTCGCGCGCGCGCCTAGCGAACTTATAGCGAAAGAGCAAAGCTTTATGCGTATGAGCTGTTTATGACGACAAGTTTGTACTTGTCACAGGACAAGGGTCCTATGTCAAAAATCGCTTTGCTTTCGTTTCCTAGCCGATGCGTGGCCATATACCGGTCTCTTGTCCCCGATTATCATTTTGTGATCGGTCAATACGAATGATCTCATTTCACTGATAATAATCTTGCCCGTCGCATACATGTTAATTGTGAAGAAATGTTCCACGATTTCACTTCACTTTAGAATCCGTATAATATTCGTCGAATTTTCATTGTGCGTTAATGCAACTAAAGCTCTTTATTATTGTGATTATTTTAATTTGTTATACATCCTTCTTTTTCATCGATAAAAAATAAAACGCATTGCTACATTTTCTAATAATATTATTAGAATATTAAAAACGTAATATTAAAAACGGTATTATTTGTAATTCATAATGACACTATAAAGAATTTAGACATAAATTCTAAAGTAAACGCATCTGCATTTTAATCTTATTTTTATGTAAGTTATAAAGAAAAAAAAGAAAGAAGTGAATCGTAAGCGTATCGATGGATTTGAAAAAGTTTCTATATACCTACATCAAAGACAAACAGATAAGCAGCCAAAGAACGTTACCGTTTTTTTAATGCGCATCGGCCACGTGGCGGATTCCTAAACGGAACGCCGTATGCTTTTCCTTTCGCGCAAAAATGGCAGGCGATCTAACGTGAATCTGCCGCTCGCGTATGGGGGGAACAGGGTGCTCGCGCGAGTACGCGTGCCTCAGTGCACATGCTCAGAGACGCGCGTGTGTAGGTTCCCAGCGCGCGTGGGCGATGCTGTGGCACGCGACACGACCGTTACACGTTCGGACTGGCAACGTAGGTCGACGCGGAAGAGGGGGTGAAATTCAGAAGGGGAACAAGAGGTGGATTGCAGCGCTCGCACGTACACACACGCAAGCGCGCGTATGCGAGACGCAATACGCGCATATCAGGTAGAGGGCACAAAACAGCCGACGCGACAACCACTCTCGTAACAAAGAGCGAGAGAAAGAACGGTGCGGAGTTCAGGTAGGCCGAACGGAAATTCGAATAAAAAACGCGAGTCGCCGAGCTCTCGCGCGGAGGGGGTCTAATGTACCCACACGCGCGCGCGCGCCCGCGCGCGACGCGAATCCCTGGTGCATGTGTGCGCGCGTGGAGTGGGTCTCCTAAGAGGGGTCACAGCATCTGCTCTTACAGAACAACATAACATACACACATTGAAACTCGCGGAGCGTGTAAGCGTGACAGAGAAAGAGAGAGAAAGAAAGACAGGGGAAGGGATGAAAAAGGAAGGACGTGGAGCGTAGCGGACTATCGCGTTGCACTCACGAACATCCTGCACCTCCCGTCGTTGTTCGCTGACGGTGGGGGACAGTTGGTGGAACATATCCCTGGTCGATTGGCTGGTGGCCCGCGACCGTCCGTCCCCCATTGGCAAGCAACGAGGGGCCCGCGGGCCCGTATTGGCTCGGCAGCACGTGCGGGCCACCTGCAATCGGCTGGTGGGGCGACCTGTTATAAGAGGCCCTGACACAACCCCCTGCCAGTCAGAGACCGGCTTGCAGCCGAAACGTTCCGAGCCAGTCACTGTAGAACATTCCTTGCATTTTTCTTTCGTGTTTCACGTGAGTCAGTTTATCTGAATCGCCCAAACCGGTCAGTTGAATACGGACGAACGTGTAGTGAAGATCAATCTTATTGCTCTTTGAAGAAAGATCGAAAGTGCCATTTCTTCTTTCGAAGAAGACTCTTGACTTATGTGTGAAGTAATTGTGCAGTGACGTTGCCGCGTATTATTGCCTTGCGAGATTTCGGCAAGAGTGTGGATTATTGGATTAACACTGTAAATGACGGATATCCATACGAGAAAAAAAAAGGAATGAGGATGCTATAAGCGCAGTGGCATAGCGTCAATAAATCAGAAGAACGCTTTAAGTGCCGTTACGCAATATAAAAACATAGTGTCAAAATGCTTGTCGACGAGGTGCCACACAGCTTCATGAAGAAGAATTACAATTACAGTCACTGCCCGTTAAAGAAGCGGCCGATTTATTACACATCCGAGGATGAAGAAGAAGTACCCGAAGCAATCAAAGGTCTCAAAATTATTTTTCTATTATCACACAAATCTCTTCGATTTTGTAAAATTACTTTCATACAAAATTTTACTACTTGTTCGAGTATATACCTATTTGCCTATTCATGCTTTAAAAATTATTCATTTTAAACGTTAAAATAAATAAATAAGATAATTCGAAATAACAGAAGATAGATAAATATATAACTCTATAGTGAATTTTTAATGTTTTACACTTCGACAAATTTTAATCGTTGACTGTTACGTGTGCGTTCTTAATTTATATTGTATTTATTTATTTTTATTTTGTAAATTACCGTGATTATATAATTCTGAAGATATTTATTTTCGATCTTATTATAGATCGAAATATTTACAAAATTATTATTTTACAATTAGATTAGAATATATTTATTAGTTCGTAGAACTAATTGTAAGTTGACTCATTAGTTTTTTCTTAGTTATTTTTAGTCTAGTGAGTCTTTTATTATTTATTTTTATTTATGTTATTAATAAAATTATTCTAATATAATGTGTATTTAATTAACACAATTAAATACATATAATTACGTAAAATTTTACATAACAAATACATGATAAAGACATGAAAACAAAAAATTAAAAGTAAAAATGAAAAAAGATGTGAAGTGAAAGTTTCGTAAGGCGAGATACAGTTTATTGTAACGATTGTAACGAATATTCCTTAGTAATAATAAAATAAATGTAGCTTAAGATAAATTCCTTTCTTTTTGAAAAGTTGAATCATTGAAATTAAAATATCAGAGAAATATTTATAAATTTCATTATTCTAAGATATTATCTAGAGTATTTTATTTTCTTTATATTTTATATATTTCGGTATCCTTTGACATATATGTAAACGCGTATCTCTTGTTTGTGCAGAAGAAATAATTGATGTGGGAGTCGACGATATCCCCGAACCTGAGAACCTCAGCACGAAGCCCGAGGATCTCAGTAGAACCGCGGATCGTCATCATAGTCCCCAACGACAACAGCAGCAGCAGCAGCAGCAGCAGCAGCAACAGCAACAACAACAGCAAGAATCACAGGAACGCGCATCCAGCAGGATGCCGCCTCCGATTTTCAAGACGTCTCCTCCACCTTTGACAATAGAACCATCCTCGCCGACGACTCACCACGCGATGCACTACGTCCACCAGTTACATCATTATCACCATCACTATCCGACCAAGACTATCACGCCGCCAGCGGGAATCGCGCCGACCCATCATCCGATGGTGAAGAAAGCGCGAGTCGAAGTGATCCAGCATGACAATTCCACGACACCTACGGCGGGTGTGACGGCGACGTCGACACCGTTGCATTTTATGGCGAGCAAGGCACCTCTGGAGCCGTTGAATTTGAATCCTCCGGTGGAGCCGCTGGCTCATTACCCTACGCCAGCCTGGACTCGCACGGGCCCGCTGTATCCATCGCATTATCTGCCATACGCCCCGCCTACATATCATCGCTATCCTGGAGCGGAATTATATTCGTCGTATCCGGTACCGGCGTATCCGCACTCCTCGCCAGAACATCACCCGTCAGTTTCGCCACCGCCCCACGGTGCATTGACTTGTTCGACGATTCCACGGCCCATTGCCAGGACCTATCCTCACTGGGGTAGTCCGGATCATTGTGGTTTGTCGCCTACGAGTTCCGTGGGCTCCGGTTCTCTGCGATCTCCGCCGCCCGTGACGCCGGAAGACCTCTCCTCGCCCAGCAGTGACAGCGGTAGATCGTCCGCTGGCAGCACCTCTGCCGGGACCATGATCGGGCCCACGAAAGTAGAGAAGGGCAGTCCGAACGCCAGTGCGAGTACCACCTCGAGCACGACGTCGTCCAGGTATTCATGCGAGAACTGCAAGAAATCGTATTCGACATTTTCCGGCTTGTCGAAGCACCAGCAGTTTCACTGTGCGGCCGCTCAAGGCCAGGCAAAGAAGTCTTTCTCGTGCAAATACTGCCAGAAGATATATGTCAGTTTGGGCGCGCTTAAAATGCACATCCGGACACACACGCTGCCCTGCAAGTGCCATACGTGCGGCAAGGCGTTCTCCAGGCCGTGGCTGCTTCAGGGTCACATCCGGACGCACACCGGCGAGAAGCCCTTCCGATGTCAACACTGCAATCGTGCGTTCGCCGACAGGAGCAACCTCAGGGCTCACCTGCAGACTCATAGCGACGTCAAGAAGTACTCCTGCGACAGGTGTAGCAAGACATTCAGCAGGATGTCGTTGCTTACAAAGCATCAGGACGGCGGCTGTCCCGGGGTGCCGGTGTCAGTCGGCTATTCTTGCTAAAAGTTTCACGTTTCTGTGACCTATGACATGTATGTGTCATTCGTTTTTTATTTCGCGGTCTCAAAGTGCCTTAGAATACAGTACAAATGTCGAGTTAGTGAAGTCTGGTATCTTGGTGAATCGCTCGCGAAATTTCGATTAATCAATCCTTTCGCCATCGGACTATATCCTTTCAGAAGAAAGTGAGCTTTAAAAAAAAACAAAAGTTGACAAAAACGTTTTCCGAAAAGTTGCATTTTATGAAGAAAAAAATATTCTTTTTTTATCTTGAATTAATTCTGAAAATAAGAATTTATTGAATTTTATCATTTTGATTTTCTGACAGTGGCGAATTCACAATTCCACACATTCTCGTTAAATATACCGCTCGATCATATCGAACACACCTTATTAAGAAGTTGACTCGCCAGACAGATATCTCGAAAAATTTCGTGAGAGTTGGTTTCGTTTGTTTATTATCCTTCGCTGTAAATATCCGTGTACGAGTGTGCGACATACAGCGATTCACAAAATATTTCTCTTTTAATTAACTAAAATATTTCTTGTTTTAATTTAATCAATTGCCAAACTTCAAATTTTGTTTGTAGAAAAAATTTATGATTTTTTTCTAAAAAACACATGAAGAAATATATATTACACTATAAATGAGAGATCCAGAAAGAATATCAATCATTTGAGGTCTGCAATTGAGAAATAAATAGTTTTGTGACTCATTGTATGAGCGTGCTGACGATATAATAGTACTTATAGAGATTATTTCGTCCTTCCGAGAGATCGGTCACGTCGCTCCGAGCACGTGTGAGAAATATCGAATATAAAAAGCTGCTCGATTACCGCGTGATGCGGTCCCGTGAAACTGCTGTGCCATTTTTTTTTTAATATTTCATGCCATTTTTTTCATTTGTTCTAATGCACTCGAGCACATAAAACGCGATTATAAAATGAAGAGATCGAGAAATAGGACGATTTGCACGTTTCCTTTTTTTTAGTTATATTTCGTTTCTTTTGTCGGCGTGCGAGCGCTTCCGAACATTATTTATGATTGTGACTCGATCGAAACTTATTTATATTAATTACGCAACGATTCTTTGTAGTTTCGGTGGAAAAGAAATCGTCTGAAATAAAACGGGATATGAAATGCGATGCGTTTCATAAAAATATTGCATTAAATGAAATATTTTCGGAAATATAGGGTGCAAATAAAGGCTTGTCACGCTGCGATGCACCAAAGTGCCATTCGCGAAAAGCGCCACGTGCGCGTCGCGCCGGGGTGGAACCTCATTCGCGCGCTCGCACGCGTTAACACGCGAATTGTACATAGTTCAGCGCTTAACGGTTAGCGAGTAAAATACGCACAATACGAGTATTACAATTTGCCCGCGTTGGGCAATTGGATCGAAAAGAGGAAGACAAGGTCGCTTGACGCGTAGAAAAAAAAAACGACGAGAGATCTCGGCTTCGCATTATCATTTTCTGTATTTTGCATTTCGCAAATCCACCGTAAGTTTCTTAAACAAACTAGTCATTGTATTATACGCAGAGGGACAAAAGACTCGTTATGATTATTGAAAAAGATATAGAGAGAGGTAGATGTTAGAGTGAGAGCCATCGTTGCGTATGTACTTTTACTTTTTATCGTGCGTGTAATTAGCAGCATGGCTCAGGCGAGTACCACTATTCCTAGTTTTGTAAAGAAAATAAACTACTACGAAATACATATATTGCCTATGTATAGAGATATTTTATACAAAATAAATTACATGGATTTTAAATCTTAAACTCTTTTCTCTCTTTATCATGTGTTAATTTCTCTCTTATTTCCTTCTCTAAAATATGTTGATATCTTTACCTTCTTTTTCATTCCCCTCATATGTTTTCTCTAGCAGAATTATTCAGTATCTTCTTTTCTTCAACTTCTCGTGGATAAAATTTTACTTTACTACATTAGTCTACGAAGACCGTTTACATAACTGCCGAATTTTGATCATCGGTCATTTACATCGTATACATTAGATACGTACGAATAAAAAAAAAATGAGGCTCGCTGTCACATAGCGATATTTTGGAGACTCGCATAATCAGGCGTTTTATCTTTTGACAAACGACGCTCGCGTAAGCATAACTCTTCGAGCAACCAATCCTGCATCGCTGATCGTTCGCTCGTCAGAGGTCCCGGAGGGGCCTCTTCGGTAAAAGTAATTGTCGGTGTTCGTGCTCGGCTCGAGACGAATCGATTGGCTCCGACGTGAGATTCGACGTACAGCCGGTTAAGTATTTCATTGCGCACGTGGACGTAATAACGCGCGAAAGTGACAGAAAATGCGCGCGGCCGCACGGCGAATAAATCTATATCGGCAGTTTCGACAAGCCGCGATATTTATATTGCATTCATCGACGCATTCCCATAATCGTGCAGCCCATTGCCGTTTGCGCAATTGCGTACCGCCAAGAGAACGATTGTTCGCGATTGCAAAAAGAAAAGAATCCTTTCCGCGCGGTTCACGCGCTCTATATCTTCCGAGTGCCGCCGTTTATTCATTGTTACAGCTCTGTCTGGGTGGTCCAGATCAATCATGCGACGAATAGAGAATTCCAGAACCTTTCATCGATTTATCGAAGCGAGATTTATCAATCTTCCAGATCGCTGAGCGTTTATAAGTGCTTCCTCGAATCGGAGCTGGGAATAAACTGAATATCCTAAGAAGTATCGCGCGAATTCTATAATAAATCGTTAGAATACAAAAATTATTACGTTTTGTAACCCTTTCTGCAGTGCGAACAAATAATATATTCGTGCAACAGTTATATCTTTTCGCAGATGTACAATATTTAATTAAATTAGAGCGAAGTTAATCCGCGTTACTTCGCAAGGCATTCATCGTGTTAATAGCGTCTTCCGGTTATAACGGAGCTTATCTTCAGCGTATCTCACGAGGGCCAATCGACACGCGGCTGGCTCGCGTCAGCGGTGAATACGCGCGGATTATCCGGCAGGTTATCCAATTTCTTCGCACAATGAAGAATCGAGTGATCGTGCCGTGTCGCGCCCGCGCGCGCGCGCGCGGAGAGTATCTCTCTTTCCGTTGCGTGTTGCGTTCATTCATACATTCACGGGCGTGTGTAACGCCAGCACAAAGCTCTTTTAGCGGAGCAAACAACATATGGCGAGCAAACACGCGCGATGGAAACGCGGCGTTCAATTCATTTCGCCCGGGCTAAACGGGCTACCTGCACTGCGTATTAAATCCCACGCGCCTCTAACATACGCGCCGCCGATTCAATCGGCCGTGGTGGCTCCAATCGAGCTTTTTGTTCGGCCGGCTCGCCCATATGGGTGCCCGAGATCGTGCCCGCGATCTCGCTTGCCCTCCTGACATTGTCGCATTGGTAATATATGGGTCGACCTGCGAGGCAAACATGCGTTTAATCGACATTTCAAGAGTGAAATTCATCGATGCCTGTGAGCAACACGTGTTTTATTCAATTATTTAAATATCATCTAAAACGCGATAACTTTTTATATTAAAGTAAAAGTAGAATTAATTCTTCTTTCACATATATACATATCGCTCCTTATCCCATCCAATCTGGATATTTAAAGGGAATTAACGGGATCGTGAATTACAACCATAATGACGGGATAGCAAACTCGTGCTGTACTTGAAACTCGCGGATGTTCAAATCTTAAACGATTTACACACTTGTGGTCTCGTTGTGTAGTTAGTCGTCATTATGGCTATAATTATGTATGACGGCCCCATTGAACGGCGTCCTTTCGCCCGGCACGACAGGTGCACGCGCCATTTTCGAGTACCGTCCCTCGCAGACCGCGCTGTGTATACACACTCACGCAGAAACGCGCGCGCAAGCAAGAAAGTGTGGAAGCAAACGCTACCTTGGCCGCTGGGCTTTTATGGCGACCGGTCCGAATCGAACAGGTGCGTCGGAACGGATATACACACATAAAACGCCGGGGTAAAAGGTTCCATTATTCGTTTGTATATGGCACCGAGGCTTTGCGCTATGCAAAGACTTTTGCGAGAGGAAAGCGACCGCGCGGCGACAAAAGGTCGCAACGTCGTATACGGGCCGCGCCGAGAATGGAATGTCAGCTACGAAGTTTTGGGACACAAAGCGAAGGGGGTCGAGGTCGGTCGTCATCGACAAAAAAACTACCCGTTGCCTCGTAAGAGCCGCAGATTTGACGACTTCGGTCACCTGAAATTATGTCCGGGTTAATAATAAAATCTACCAGTTGACGTGCCAAAGGATTTTCAGATTGTCCATAGGCTTTATACTTCTGCGCGAGATGAAAACGTCATGATTTTATTTATTTAATTTGCACAGAAGTCGAAACTTCTACAAAATTCTACATCTTATGTATAGTTAATAAAAAATACTGCTATTTTTATTATTTTTATTTTTAGCGGTATTTATTTTATATGTAATTTTTTATTATCTAAATGTAGCGTAAAAAAATTTAAATATTTTTGCACGAGCAGTAACGATCTCACGATCTTTGACACGATCGCTGTAGAACACCAAGTTGACCTCGTATAAAACTGATCGTTCCTTCAGGATGTACAGCACACCTGATCAAGGAGCGAGAGTCTTTCATCGCTTCCCGGAAGACTCTCGTCTTCTTGCAACCCTTTACTCCGTGGTGGTACGTGTCTCATTGTGTCAGCGAGGATCGCCACTGCCGATTACACCAGGTGTGTTAGTGCTCGTGCGTTTCTTCTTCGAGAAGCGTGATCGTCGATGATGCGGCGATCCGTGCACGAATTATATAGTCGTCGCCCTTATGAAATTCTCAGTCGGCTGGAAAGAATGCCCCGGCCGAATAAGTATTGAACGATCGGAATATAATGTAAGGCTCTGCAGTTTAATTATTACATCGTTACGTGATATTATGTAGTTAATGTTAACTTTTATGCTAAATTATTGACATGCCGTTGTGTGTCACATTTCTTCTTTTTATCGAACTATTATAATCGATTTAGAAGTATTGAAGTTCAAGACATTGAAATATTAGCGAGAGAAACGATTTGCACAGTCACCGTAATCATTCAATTATCAATTCGTTCCGTGCCTCTGAGTCAACTTCAGAGATCGTATTCGATAAGAGCATTAAAAAGAGAGACCGATTGAAAAACGTGAGAGACAAATAATGAAATGAAAGAAGTAACTGGATATCCACCGCGCTGCGATAGCATTGATTCAACGTAACAAACCTCGATACAAAGGCTATTTGTTACTCTCTTTTTTTTATATCTCATTGTCAGCTGATCTAAATGTGATGCGGTCCAGTGATTCTTTGAGAAATTCTTGACCATTTCGAGGCAGTGAAAAAATAATATTGATATTTTTTTCGATTTATTTATCAACTTTCTAACAGCAATCTAAAATATTATAAATTCAAGCTTTCGTTAATTTATTTTTAATTACATCATTTGAATATGTCTTATAAATTATCTCTCTATAAAGCATTTTATTCTTTCCCGGACATAACTTTTTTTTTTGAGTTGCCGGGAAAGCCGAAGAACCCGTAATCGTGTGAAACCTCACGCCGGCGGGCCATTTAGGAACCTAAAATACCCGAGTCACTGTACGAGTAACGAATGGGCCTTATATTTCAGTAGCGGCGATCAAAAGCGGCGCGAGGCATCGGGCCAATATACCGGCAGAATGGCTCATTAGTCCGTGGAGTACCTTTAAGGCCGCGGACAAAACAATCTCTGCTTCGTGGCAGCAGCAACCTGTTACCCGGGCCTTATTTCAGGTCTTAAGGTAGCGTGCGCAACATATGGCTCGCGGGCGAGCTCTGGCAGATTTCACCTGCTCATTCCGCGGGCCTCTATAGAGGCCCGGATCGGCGAATCTCTCGCAAAACTGTAGCGCGTGTCCAGGTACTTTTAGTTCGTAGGCTGTTAAGAAGGTTACGAAGTGGCTTAAATCAGCCTCCGTGGTCCCCTGTACCTTGTATCTAAATTGACTGGGGTATGAATTTACTCGCGCGTAAGAATCGCCGTTATCGCACTCTTCACGCCGGCCTTAATGATCCCTTAACGGTCGTTTCGAGGCCTGAATTGCGAGATGTTATCGCGACGCCTCACGAAGGGGTCCGTGGCGGGAGATTTCGTGAGACTCCGAGAGAATGGACCGTTGATGTGAAATAAGATGCGTGTTACTGATTCCTCTTATAAATTTCATCAATTTCAACACTTTGGACTTTGAATTATTCTTATATTGATAGATTATAACATGTCATTTTCATAAATTAAAAAAAAATCGCGTTCATTTTTTAAACGTAGGTAATTTTACTTGTTTTATTTAGTTTTATTTCGTTAAATTCAGATACAATAATTGGCATTTTTAATCTAAGATAATAGAATTTTTGGTAGTGGAATTTTTGACCATACAGAGGATGCTTTGGAATGCGTATATTATGTTTCAGACGAATGATAAAGTGCAACACTTGTCTCGGCCATGTGTTACACGACGATTTTGTGTGCTCAAACCGACGGGCGCGAAATGGATACGTTCCAGATCGCTTTAGAAAAAAGCCAGTTTCTCGTCTGCCCGCTTTCTTCTTCGTAATCTTAACATCTATAGTCTCTGATGTACCTTCTTACATTTGACGATTTCAAATTTTACAAGAAACTGAATAATATAATAAATAGTAATATTTAGAACGAAAAATAAATAAAATAAAATCGTAAAAAAAAGAATACAAGACAGACAGGATGTGATCCCCTTATCCCAATGATTATCAGATCGTTATTATGCTAACCAATCATCAGTTGGAAATCAGCAAACTCGCGCGACCGATTCGCCGCGCGTTATTATCCAAGGTGTGGCACTGCTGACACCCATTGGTGGGTGGTCCACCGTTCGCAAACCGCTATGTGTGAACCTCGATTCGGTTGACGATCGTCCCGATCCACCATTATCATGTCAGAGGCGAGAAACCGGCGAAATCGGGGATAATGGTGCACACTTTGGCTTTCCAAGAGAATTATGAGCGAGGATAATCATAAAAGTATACAAGAGATACAAGGAATAAATTTTTTCACCCAATATTTAATTACAATAAAAACTAAATAATATATATACATATATATATATTTTGGACTCAAACGTATCTATTTGTTTTATTGTGGTGGTGAACGTAGATTAAATAAAGCCTACTGGTTGTTATATATATTTATGTATTTAATAAATTATATATGTGAAATATGTGTTCTATTTCTCATAATAAATAAAAAAGAACAATCTGGTATTTTTCAAAATGTCGCGCGGTCACCACCTGTCGCTCTAGATAGCTATAAAAAAGTGTTACGGAAACATGGGGTGCGTCTTGAAAGGGTGAAATCTGCTACCTGTCGTTGCAAGAGCTAGCCAGGAAATGGTCTTCACCGCCCGCGATCTCTCTGCGAGAAACTAGCAATTTCTAGGAATTAATCAGTGTCGAAATTAATTACTTTCTCGGGTCTGTGTGACGCCGCTCGTTCTAAACTGATGAATACGCTGGCATTAGTATACGGGATGACATACATGTGTCATTAAAATCCCGTTCTAGCTTGTAGGACGTACATCTTGCATTCCTTTCTCACTCTATCTTCGCCTATCTTCCCACCATTCTCAATTACAGATCCATGCTCATCGCAAAACTTAATTATTTTTATATATATACGTACATAAAATCTATTTTTAATTTATTGTAAACACGTAGTTGTATATGAAAGTAAAAAAAAATCGAGAAATCAAATATTCGCAGTAGTAAGTCAAAATAGAAAATGCATTAAAACAGATTTTTTTTTTTAAATTCTCCTCTAAATAATGATTAATAATATTTTTATTGCAAAGGCATATTTTCCGATAAATTAAAACAAGAATAGTTTTCTTGTTCAAATAAGTAGCTCCTTTCTTTCGGCCATCAAATAATCCAACAATAATAAAGCAAACATGATGCAATAATAGCGAAGCCGATCGGTTTAGCCGAGGGTTAAGGTCGACGAGTGCGCGCCACCTTGCAACTTGCTTACGTAAGCGGCGACACGTAATGATCCGCGCGAGCGTAATCGAAGATTCGGCTTTTAATTATCCGTATAGATCGTGTCCGACCGTTACCGGTCGGCGTTTCGAGTCTTAACGAGCCGGCGTCACTGCATGCTCGCGGGGAGACATAGTTGGCATACTGTGAGGCCGGTGGTCTCGGTCGATACCGCGCGAGGTCTCCCATCGAGAGAGAGTCCACGGCTTTATCCCCTCTCCCCCAGCCTCCCCCGGTGAGGGTAATTAAAGCGAGTCACGGTGATCGTTCGTGGCTGATCTTGTCATCGATCGAGCCGCGCGCGCCAGGTCTATCCGTTCTTCCTGGACGTGAACGCGCCCTTTTCACCCCGCCCGCCGCTTCCTGGCCGGCAATTAAGATAATTCTTTCGTAATCGCCACTCGATATCTGCCTGCGATTGCGGGTCGCAGGAAGCGGGCGCGCGCTCGTACGGCCGCAGCTCCTCTGACCTTGGATGCGATGCCACCGTGAAGGATTTTGCACCTGTGATATTCGTCCGGTAGTGAGGCGCGAAAGACGACGCGAACGTCGGATGTCGACGGTAAGATCGTTAATCGCGTACCACGTGGTTAATATCTACAATCTGTATATATAGTATATCGTTGATTAGAGAATAATCTCTCCGTTGCAGGTGTCGTAATCGTTCGGCACAAGGTGGATTCCGATAATAATAGGGAATCGCAAATCGATTTTACCTGTAACGCGCACTTTCTTCAGTTCTTTTTTCCATCTCAAGTTTCTTTATTTCAACGCAAATGTTAGCGATTCGAGTCGATATCGAGATCAACCTGATGATATTAAGTTTTATTAAATGGATTGCATTTAATTACAGCTGGTGGACAATGCCGTGACGAACGTGAGAAGAATTGAGATAATGAGAATTCCCGGGGTTGCGGCCATCGATCAACTCGTAGCTGCTAATTGCTGATCGAATAATGACCGCCCATGCATACGTAAATACAGCGTTATAGCAGGGCGCGGTATAGCTCTCGTACGTCGATAATTTATGGTAGATTGATACCGCGGAGATACTTTATTATGAATATTTTTGTGCGGCGCAGAGATAATAACGATACGGGATATCGTATTTACTGGTGGAGTATTTGTGGTATTTAGGCGAGTTAACCGGATCGAACTCAGATTGATCGAATCGATCGCGCTATCGATTTTATCTTTGCAATCGAGAAATTGTTTCCTGTACGTAATGTTTAATTAAGAATCGCGTATAATTATTGAATAGGAGTTAATGTTCCGGTGTTATTAAATATATTCAAACATTGAGAAATTGTTTCGCACAATATGCAATTAAAGAATCTTGCGTAATGATTTATGGAAAATCTATCCCAGGATTTTTTGACTTTAATTAATCCCAAGACTACACTGAGAAAAAAAAGTTGTTGAAACAATTAAATGCGTTTTATTGACAGTTTTTCTTTGATTCAATAATATATGTTTTTGAATTAAACATACATCAATAACATTAACATGATATTTCTGTGAATCAACAAGTATTTTGTTGAATTAACAAAATATTTGTTGGACGCCCCGTGATCGCAGAATATAATTGAATCAAGAAATATTCATTTGATTTAATACTTTTTTTTTCTCAGTGTACCAGTACAGCATTGTACGCTGGCTGTGGAGTGCCCCGTACACACAAATGAATGAAGTCCTCCGTACACGGGATAATTACCATGCACGAGTGCGATATGTTCGCGCGCTGACACCTGTTGCATGGCATATTACGTGACACGAATGCAGTATTTTGCGGGTAACCGTCATCGTGTCCAAGCAGATCGTTTTAGAGCAATGGAAGAAATACGTAAATATCTCGATTCAATGCAACGTTATCAGTTAACGAGATCAGTCTATTGCAAATATGTAAGTTGCTGGCTATGTCGAGTTCATGTTTACAGCACTATAATTTAGCGAAGCTGTAGTAGCTAAGATTTTGCTTTACGATATAAAATCTCGTATTTTTCGTG